TGCAGTGGCTGCAGAGAGCTGCACAGTGCTGTGCTTTAACCCCTTGCCCCACCAGGGAGAGCCCTCATGTGCCTTTCTTGATCCCGCATCTTTCCCTGTTTGTAAATTTTGTCCGTTACCAGTGATGCTAATCATATCATACTGTAATGATTTCTTCTTGTGTGGAGTGCTAGATACATATTAGTTGTGTTAACAGTCAGGTTGCTGTCTTTAAGTAGGGTTTGCTATTCACTGAGGCAAGACAAACACAGTCTAGGTTATGCATAGAAGAACTGGGTGTAGGTGCCAGAGGTACAGGGTGAGAGGGTTCACCCAAGACAGAGTGGGGAGCAGAACAGGTGGAGCTACGGAAACACACTGCTGAGGGGACCAACAGGTGAGACAGAAGAGACCTGCTGGACCACATGTGGGTCAGCTACCTGGCCGGGGATCGCACACATGCAGCAGTGGCTGGCAATGGCTTGACAGCGCTGAGACTCTAACCCCTGCGCCACCAGGGAAGCCTTGCCTAGGATTGTTTTAAACTGAATTTATAAATCGAATCACAATACCTTACCTTTGCTGTGAAATTGATGTTCTGTATCATTTCTGCTTTGTTATCTAGTTGAATTTCATCTTTTCTCACTTCTTTCTCATCAGAAGCATGTGTCTTGGATGTGAACATTTCTTAGGTATAAACATAAAGGTTTAATAATTTAATAATAGTAAACCTTGATTGAACACTTACAGGCATTGCATAAGACAAAGTCATCTTCCTGGAGCAGAGGCCAGTCTGTATTTTTACAGGCCACTACCTAGAACGTGTTTTCAAATCTTTGTTAGCTGAAGGTATATGATTCTGAGGTAGCTTGCTGATGAGAAACCACAGTGTCGATGGTAATTGTGAAAAGCACCTGGCAGAATAAATCATCATCATCTCTTTAGCCAATAAAGTGTGGTTTAATGACAAAAAAGAAGGAATTTGTATCAAGCTTCCCACTTTCCAGCTCTTTGAAGAGCGATTCCTCTCAGGGTGTCTTATTCCTCTCTTTTGTGTTAGTGTAGATGGTGGGGCCAGGGCACTTTTGATCAAGAACGTGCAGACACCGTCACTCGGCATGCATTAGAAGTGTTCAAGGATGCACGACTCAGATTGCTGAGCACCGATGGGATGAGTAAAAGGTTTTGTTCCTTGTGCTGAAAAACAGTATTGTCGACTGTGTCCTAGTGTTACAGTTTCATTGCATTCTCTCAAATCGCTTACTCATGATTTTAGAGAAGAGCTTTGCTAGTGGGGATAAAAGTTGAAAGAGGGAACATGAACAGACAGCCAAGAACTGCTAGTGCTATCGTAGAGCAGGAAAGACCTGCTACCAAGAATGAGATCGTAGTTTGGAAGATTTCAGACATAGGTTGTGTCCATCACTGTGTCTCCAGGGCTGACAGTAATAAGCCAAAACCCTTGTAACTTGCCCAGACAGGTGCCTAAACAGGACCCTGACCTGGTCGGCTGGAAGTGGTGTTGGAATCATTTAGTGAAATGCTGTCATTAGGTATATTGCAGTGGCAGGGGATAGCTTGGTAGACTGAGACTTAACCCTGGCGCCACCAGGGAGGCCCTCAGCAGTGAGCTTCTTGAGGTCACGAAACCATCAAGCACTAGAGAAAGATGGGGAGAATGTCGAATGTCTTTGTTTTGTTCATTTGTTTTTAATAATCTCGGGAGGGGGACGCTGTTCTTTCAGGACCCTGGGAGTCCTAAAAGAAAAGATAGCTAAACTTGATTGCATAAATATAAAATCCTCTGAAAACAAAAAAATTCCCATAAGCAAAGCCAAAAGGCAACGGACAGGCCAGGAGGAAAGTTTTGTGATTCCTATCAAAAGTCAGCGCTGGGCCCTCCCTGGTGGCGCAGCGGGTTACAGCACAGTACTATGAAGCTAAAACCACTTCAGCCTGAGTTCCATCCCCACCTGCCCCAGAGGTGACCCACTTGGTGCAGCAGACCTCTCCTGATCCGCCTGCTGCTCCCCTCAGCGGTGGACCTCATCATTCGGCCTGTTCTGCTCCCCACTCTGTCTCTGGTGAAGCCTCTCACTGCCCCTGCACCTTTGGCCCGTACCCCAGCTCTGTATGCAGAAATAAATAAATCTTTAAGAAAAAAAGTCAGCGCTAATCTCCCAGAGAGTAAGGAGTACTCTCAGTCAAAGCAGTGGCAAACAGATCATAGGAAAGGAATTTTCTTTAATGTAGGAAAGGGGGCCTCCCT